TGGTTTAGGAAAACCTGCCTATATGAAAAAGAAACCACACAGGAAAAGACAGATTTACCTACATCAAAATAAAATACTTCTGTGTTTCAAAAAGAAAATGAAACAGAAAATATGAGTAAAAGTAAAAGACAACAAATTGAAGCAGAAAATATTTACAATATAAACACCAATGGTTCAAGATCTTTAAATATGTAGGCTTTTGTAACTGAAACTATAAAATCAATACCCCAGTGGAAAAAATAAGGACAAAGGACATGAACATGTAATTCACACATATGCTCAAATTCCCTCCACACACAAAAGCTTAGCTCTTAAATATATGAAAAATATTTAATCTTGCCCACTCAATAGATGGGAATAAAAACAAGATAGCATTTCTTTTTTTTTTTTTTTTTTTTGCAGGGGTTTGGGGATGCTACTGGGGATTGAACTCAGGGGCACTAAACCACTGAGCCACATCTCAGCCCTATTTTGTATTTTACTTAGAGACAGAATCTCACTGAGTTGCTTAGTGCCTCACTTTTGCTGAGGTTGGCTTTGACCTTGTGATCCTCCTGTCTCAGCTTCTTGAGCCAATGGGATTATAGGCCTGTGCCACTGTGCTCAGCTAGCATTTCTTTATATATCTGCTTGATAAATATTTATAAAAATCATAATACCTAGAATTTATGGTGTTCATAAGAGTGTAGACAAACTTTCTGAAACATTGATATAAACTAGTACAATCTTTCTGGAAGATAATTTAGCAATAAATATGCTTTTAATGAACATTGTATGTGTGTGTGCGCGCGCGTGTGTGTGTGTGAGAGACAGAGAGAGAGAGGAGAGAGAGATTGATTGATTTTGGGGAGGGGGAGAGATAGGGGGAGGGGAGGGGGAGGAGGATAGGAGGCAACAGGAAATATAGCACACAGCATGGCCCACAAAGTACTCCTGGTCCAAAATTTGACCCAAGTCTATCCAAGTATCTGGAATTCTCAGTTTACTGAGAACATGGAGATTTAGTGCCATTAAAATGAAGTTCAAGAATATGAAAATAAATAGATGATGATAAAAAGTCAGAAGAGGGCTGGGGATGTGGCTCAAGCGGTAGTGCACTCGCCTGGCATGCGTGCGGCCCAGGTTTGATCCTCAGCACCACATACAAACAAAGATGTTGTGTCCGCCAATAACTAAAAGAAATAAATATTTTAAAAAAATTCTCTCTCTCTCTCTCTCCTCTCTCTTTAAAAAAAAATAAAAAAAAATAAAAAAAAATAAAAAATAAAAAGTCAGAAGAGTGCTTACCTCTAGGCCAAGTACAGAATAGAAGAGGACAAAAAGAAATTTTATGGATTACTAGTAGCTTCTAATCTTGTAAATATGTAAATAACCATAAAGTTACATTTTTTTTTTTGTGGTACTAGAGATTAAACTCAGGGATGTTCCTCAACTGAGTTATATCCCCAGCCCTTTTTATATTTTATTTTGAGATGGGGTCTCGCTAATTTGCCCAGGCTGGCCTTGAACTTTCTTTATCTTTCCTCCAAAGTAGTTGGAATTACAGGTGTGTGCTACTGTACTTGGTAAAGCTCTCTCTTAAAATTGGCATACTTTATTTATTAATTTTTGATTTTTGGTGCCAGGGATTGAACCCAGGGGACTACAACCCCTCAGTCACATCCCCAGCCCTTTTTAATATTTTATCTAGAGACAGGGCCTCACTGAATTGCAGACGCTAGCTTTGAACTCTCAATCCTCCTGCCTCAGCCTCCTGAGCCACTGGGATTAAGGCATTAGTATGCTTTATAAGTTTTACTGTGCATATATAAAGCCTCAGGTTTTAGAAATAGAAAGTAAAAATTCTTCTGCCACTCTTCCAACATCACCTAGTGTAACAAGACAAGCGAGTGTGGCTAGAAGATTAGCAGAGATGCCAAGAGGAAGCCGTAGTATATTACACCTCAGCTCCTACCCGTGGGTCTTGTTCTCTCCAAAACTCCCATGGCTGCAAACCAGGAAGCGGGGAGGGAGAGCAAAGCCCAGAAGATACAACCAGAGTTCTTATTAGGAAAGCCTTACAAAGTGACTCTTCACAAGGATTTCTAGAACATCAGCCAACTAAGAACACTGGCTGTGTTGTAAAAATGGGCTTTAACTTCACCTAAAGAATTTAATAAGTCAGCCGATGTGGTGTCGCACACCAGTAATTCCAGTAACTTGGGAGGCTGAGGCAGGTGGATCACAAGTTCAAGGCTAGTCCCAAGTAACTTAGCGAGACCCTGTCTCAAAATAAAAAAATATAAAAAGGGCTAGGGAGGGGCTTCATGGTTAAACACCTCTGAGTTCAATCCTTGGTATCCGTCCCGCAACAAAAAAGAAAAAAAGAATATTACAATTCATCTATGTAAGTTGATACAGGTTGACTATCCCTTATCTGAAGTGCTTGGAATCAAAGTGTTTTGGATTTTGGAATATTTGAACACACATAATGAGATATTTTGGGGACGGACCACAAATCCAAACACAGAATTCATTTATGTTTCATATACACCTTTTATACAACATGGCCCTAAGGTAATTTTTTACAATATTTAAAAAAATTTTTGCATTAAACAAAGTTTCATGGTATGCAATTTTCTATTTGTGGCTCATATCAAGTGCTCAAAAAGATTCAGATTTTGGATTTCAGATTTTCAGATTAGGGATGCTCTGCCAATAATGTGAATTAGACACTAGCAGCTAAAGCTAAGGCTATGTTTAAAGCTGGATACTTGGAAGGGTAAGCTACAGAAAGATGAGAACTTGCAGAATTGGTAAAATTTGCTTTGAAATGCCAAAAGACTGTTTTGGAAATTGAGCTGATTATAAGAGTATATAAAGAGGAGTAAGGCCTCTTTGCCATTCAGCACAGCCCCTTCACTCCCATCTCCACTTTCACCCCCAGAGATAACCTGGATTGCTCAGGGCAGACTGAGAAATGTGCATTTTCAGTGTTTACCATCCCAACGTAGAGGTTTACCAGAGGTTACAGAGAAAATACGTGTTATATTAATGTTGTCTATGTGTGGTTTACAGTCCTTCATTCTAGCAAACGCAACAGCACATATGAATAGAAATCAGAGGTTACATTGGATCTTGTGATATGGTAAGCTTAATATTCATACCACTATGAAAGAACAATTTCTTATAATGGTATACTTACTTGTCTGGTATGTTTCAAGCCCAAATTCAGGACTAAGATGAACTTATAAAGTTCTCATTTCTTTGAAGAGCAGAAAAAAAATATTTTTACTTTTTTGGGGGTGGTGGTGCTAGGAATTGAACCCAGGGCCTCATACTTGCTAGGCTAGAAAAAATACCTTTAAAATTTTTAACTGGTAAATAAAAATTGTACATACTTATGGGATAAAATTTTATTTTCAAATTTCATTCTCATGAAAGTCTTATTTCACTGATGAAAGGATTTAACTGGCTGGAATTCTAGGTTGTATCTTTAACCAAAACAGGCATCCAGAAATCAGGAAAATTAAGGGCTATGTCCATACAAATAGTGTGTGGCTATGTGGAATTTAATGAATTTTTTGCAATGCTGGTAAATAAAGAATTCAATGTGATCTATTGATTTAAGTGGCCAGTGTGGCATTGTTTTTAAGCCAAAATATTAATAATGGCTATCTTTCATAACACAATCTGATACAGAGCATGAAAGGTAAGAATACAATCCCCAAACAGAAAATAATTCTCAAAATTCAACATGGTGGTTATCTGGGTAAAATGGATTCTGTCATACATTCTGGCTCTCAATGGTCTGATTGGTTTGCCTTACTGTAAGGCTACTAGTGTTTACACAGGGTGGCAGTCAATGGTTAAGTCTATAGAACACAGGTTAAAAACTACTTCTCTCAATTCTATGTTATATAGACCAGTTGTCAATATATAAAGTCTCCTACTGGCTTATGGAGAAGTTCATCTTAATTTAATCTCTGTCTTCAGAATGAACAATTATTGGGAGGGGAGGGAGGGGGGATGGTAGAGGATAGGAAAGGTAGCAGAATACAACAGTTACTAATAGGGCATTATGTAAAAATGTGGATGTGTAACTGATGTGATTCTGCAATCTGTATTTGGGGTAAAATTGGGAGTTCATAACCAACTTGAATCTAATGTATGAAATATGATATGTCAAGAGCTTTATAATGTTTTGAACAACCAATAAAAAAAAATTAAAAAAAAAATGAAAAATCATAGAATTTGCAGGGAAATGGATGGCATTAGAGCAGATTATGCTAAGTGAAGCTAGCCAATCCCTAAAAAACAAATGCCAAATGTCTTCTTTGATATAAGGAGAGTAACTAAGAACAGAGTAGGGACGAAGAACATGAGAAGAAGATTAACATGAAACTGGGATGAGAGGTGGGAGGGAAAGGGAGAGAGAAGGGAAATTGCATGGAAATGGAAGGAGACCCTCAGGGTTATACAAAATTACATACAAGAGGAAGTGAGGGGAAAGGGGAAAATAATACAAGGGGTAGAAATGAATGACAGTAGAGGGGGTAGAGAGAGAAGATGGGAGGGGAGGGGAGGGGAGGGGAGGGGGATAGTAGAGGATAGGAAAGGCAGCAGAATACAACAGACACTAGTATGGCAATATGTAAATCAATGGATGTGTAACTGATGTGATTCTGCAATCTGTATATGGGGTAAAAATGGGAGCTCATAACCCACTTGAATCAAAGTGTGAAATATGATATATCAAGAACTATGTAATGTTTTGAACAACCAACAATAAAAAATTAAAAAAAAAAAAAAAAAGAATGAACAATTATTTTCTTTCACCTTGCTCCCCAGTATACCACTTTCTAGCTCAAAATGGACATTCAATAAATAGTAGGGAATTAGTTCATCTCAGCCCCCAATCTGCCCTCACCTACTAATACAACAAACCTTCTAGGACACAGACTTTGGTTCAAAGCCACACTTCTCCACCATGTTCCAGAGGATAGAAGAAGAAAACTCACCTAATGCCCTGACAATTCGCATTAGGACTTCCCCAACTTTCATTCTGATTTCTGGTGTGTATTTATCTTTGCCGCTATCATACTGAGCCAGAAGATCAACCAAAATTTTCTCAGGGTACACATCTGAGAGCAGGGCAACTCCTGGGGTTTGAAACAAAAAGAAAACAGTTTATTATTATTTAGGATTGAAAGGCAAATAAACCCAGACATCCAGTGATGAGATGCAGGTACATTTAAACACACCTACTACAAAGGGCTGTCCTTTATTTGGAGAGACAACAAGGGATGACTCTGGGAATTCAGACTCCTAGATTCATCTCATCCCAGCCCAATCTCGAAGGTCCCTCTCTCAGTATGGACATTCTATGTTCTATGGGTTACAGACTCCTGAAGCAGAGGCTAGAGGACTACGTATCACACAGAGATTCAGCAGCAGGAGACCACTAGGGATCTCCCCAATTCTGAGGCTCTAAGGTTGGATGACTTATACTATCACTGATAATGTATCAGTCTAAAGCCTAAAGCCTAGAGTGCTTCCTGTCTTTGCTATAGTTTTCCATTTCAGTGTAATTTCTCCCTGTCAAAGATGAGAGCAATTTCCACAAGGAAGCTTTCAGAGCATTCAAGCTGAGATCCCTGATGAACAGAAACAGGAAAGATACTGCCCTTGAGTCCCCCTTAGGATCCCTTCTCCTATCCCTGCCAGGGCTTGCTCAGTGTATAACCTCCAACAGTGCTATCGTATCTGAGCCCAGCCCCATACTGAGCAAGCTCTGCAGAGATGGAATAAGGGAGTTATAACCTCAGGCAGGACCAAAATAAAGCCCCTTGTTTTCAGACTATAGAAAAACAAACTCTATTACTGGGGGTGGGGGGAGCTTTCATCCCTCTAAAGAACAGTGAGAAAAAAAAATAGGAAATAGAAATTTCACAATAAAAATATATCTAAGATGAGAATGCATCTCACCACTTCTGCCTCAATCACTTTCATCCCTAGTGTCTAGTCTGGATTTTCTCAATAATCCCTTAATTGGTCTCCCCTGTATCTACCCTTTTCCCTCATTGCAGTTGGAACAATTTGACTTAAGACACAAGAGGAGCCCTTAATCTTCCGCCCAAATCCCACAATGGTTTTCTTCTCCCCAACACAAAGCAGCTCCGCATTCCCCCCCCCCCCCGCCCCTGCTGCCTTGGTTTTCTGCCTTGGTTCTCTCTCCAACCCCCTCTTTGACCCTACTCTCCCCTCCTGCACACTGTTCTCAGCTCTGGCTGCCATGCTTTTCTTCAAGGAGACCAAGCTGCCCCTGGCTCAGACCCCAACCCTGCTGCTCCATCTCCAGGAAGCCTCACAGCTGCTCCTGAACTCCTATCATGTCTCTGTGCACATATCATATCTACCAAATACAAAGTGGCAGCCTCCTTCACCTGCCACTCTTTATCCCTCTCACCCTGCTTCATTTTCTTCTTGGCACATAATATTACCTGACAGGTCATATATTTCCTTATTTATTGTCTGCTCTCCTCCCCGGAATGTGAACTCTATAAAGTCAAGGGATTTTGTTTTGTTTCCTGCTGTGTCCCCTATGCCTACTAGAGTGCCAACAAACAGCAGGTGCTCAATAACCATTTGTTAAAGAGTTAATGAATGAATGGATGAGTAAAAGGGGCTCAAAGACACAGTTGATACAAATTTGAGGGATTTAAAAAGAGAGGATGATAAGGGAGTAATAAATGTTTGAGAAATCCATAATTAATCTTCATCTGAGTTTACCATTCCCCAGTTTAAACTGATAATCTCACAACAACATTTTCTAAAGTATGGTTGTGATTGCATTCTTTTATAAATAATGGTTCTCTCTCTTCACTCCCCCCCGCATCTGGTGCGCCATGAAGGCAGTGCACCTGCTGAGGGTTGCACCTGTCCGACCATCCTCTTTTTTGTCCTCCCAACTCCTGCCTTTTTGCTTCCAAAGAACTAGGGAAGCCTCTGCACATGGCCCTAAGCCACGCCTTCCTGCATGTGGGCTCCAATTTTACACAAGGGGTACCCGGGCTCTTAAGGGAGTTTCAGGCTGTGGCCAAACTTGAAATACACAGCTCCCTGTTGGTAATATGTGACACTAGCTGTAGTTCACTCTATTTGGTAAAGTGATAGAGAAGTCCTTGCAGGTTTAGGGAGGAGTTAGGAAACATTCTAGCATAGGAAAACAATCTGTGACTTAAAAAGAAGGTGAGGAAGAGAAATAATAATAATAATAATAATAATAATAATAATAATAATAATAATAATAACTTCTAACTCCTAAAAGAGCCCCCAAAGAAAAGTGAATTGGTAGGTGGTAACTTCAATTCTGGCACTGTTGTATTACAAGGACTAGTGTATAGAGATCATGAATGTAGCTATTATAACCACTTTTTCATTAGAAGTTCCCAACTCAGAGATATGCTGGATCTGTTTCCTTTTAAGAATGTAGTCTTGACTTTGTAATGGAAAACAGTGGGAAAATGGAATTTGCTGTATAAAACTTTGATCTATATCCAGCTTTTCTGAAACTCATTTATTATTAAAGTCCTCCTACTGTTGTTTATTCCTATATTCTCTCATTAGTCATTGACACAAAACAGTTATTTAGTTCTATGCACATATCATCCTGGTCAAATTAGCCCTGCTGTCCTCTCTGCAGTGGACAGATATGTGGCTGTGCACAGCCTCTACTTTCTTCTGGCAATCAGACCCTAGTGTTTCTTTGAAAACATATGGCTCTTCTCCTCTCAGTTTGCTTCATTTCAGTGGGCTAACTACTCACTTTTTCTTCCTCCTTCCCCACACTGGTGAATTATCATATTCTATGCCACCCCAACCTTGATGATTGGTTCAGGAATGGCCAATAAGACTTGATCCTGGAACCCCTTTGAAAAAACTCTAGGAGAGGGGCTGGGGTTGTGGCTCAGTGGTAGAGTGCTCACCTAGCATGCATGAGGCACTGGTTCAATCCTTAGCACCACATAAAAATAAAGATATTGTGTTCACCTAAAACTAAAAAATAATAAAAGAAAAAGAAAGTGGAGACAAGCTTCCTTCACCACACCCTCGATAACATTATTAACCTGCAGTTGTCAGTGACTACCAGGTGGAGGAAGCCCACCAAGAATGACTCCATCACAGAAAGTCAAGCCATGAGAGGGAGGGAGAAGGCAAGCTTTGGGCACTGGGATCCAGCTATATTTTTACCCACTAGACTTTTTTTTATATATATGCTTTTATTGTCCCCCCCCCAAAGGAATTCCAACATACTCCTCTTGCATTTTTTTTTTTTTTACAATGGTAACCTTTAAACTCTACCAAGGAGCTATAAGTCTTCCCATTCTTATATAAAGATTGGCAATGGCAAAGCACAGTTTCCCTGTTTCCCACAGTCCTGGGTATGTCAGCCATTGTTTTTCTTCCTGCTGCCTGCTCCACAGACTGCTGCCAAATGGCTCTCTGACTGCTGAGTTTTACCTTCTAGGATACGGTTGCTACCTAAAAGTTTATGACTCCTTGGAGGATAAGAGCAGTTCCTGTCTTACTCACCAGCTTAAAGAATCATATATGATGGTTAAGACCAAATGACAATGACAGAGAGGAGACTTTTTGTGGTTGTTTTTGTTTCTTATTAGAAGGATTTTCTAACATTGACATGCTGAAGTCACTGTCATAACCTTCACGTGACACTTGATCCCTCACACTTGATAATTCCTTTGTAATCTGAAAATGGGGTAACTTCTGGGTTAGCACAGGCTTCAAGAAAACATGACACATCAATCCCTTTGACAATAAGAACCAAAAGATCATGTGAGAGATACCTCTCCCTGCTCTGATCACAGAAAAATTACTTTGCATTTCAGGATGTGTATAACAGATAAGATATACAAAAGGCAAAGGTGAACCCAAACTGACAAGAGTTCATGAAAGCTCTCTAATCCATGTTTTGGGGGCACTGCATAGCACAGAGGTGAACTAACTCAACTGAAAAAATATTACTGAAAGTGCTTCTTATAATAAAACAGAAACAGTTAACTGCAAAATAACGAGCCCCCTGCCAGCCAAAGACTTTAATTACAAAGCTAAAAATGTATATATATATATATATATATTTTTTTTTTCTTTTTTTGGAACTGGGGGGTTGAACCCAGGGCTTTGCAAATGCAAGGCAGACGCTTTGCCACTGAGCTCATTTCAACCCATAGAAATGTATTTATTTATTTATTTTTGTGGTGCTAGGGATTGAACCCAGGGCCTTGTGCATGCAAAGTAAGCATTCTACCAACTAAGCTGTATCCCCAGCCTCTAGAAATGTATTTTTGATGGGAACAAAGTAGAAGTCCTTTATCAATAGAAGGAGTTTAGGTACAATCTCACTTGATATAGTGCTCTTACATTATAGGAAAGATGGTCTAATTCTAAATATTTCTGCTGACTGGCTCTATCAAGGAATCTGCTAAGCCATCTCTACTTTGAAACTAACCTTCATCATTTTTCCTGGACAGATAACCTCCTAAAATACCCACTCAAACTGGAAAACTACCTATGTACTTGAACCTATTAGGTATTTTTGCCAACAAACCATAAGAAACATAAAATGTCATGTATTATGTGATTCTCTTTACATGAAATGACCAGATTAGGCAAAACTATATAGAGAGTAAGTAGATTTAGTGGTTATGTAGGGCTGTAGGAGTTGGGAAGAAATGAGGAGCAACTGCTAATGGATATGAAGTTTCTTTGGGGGATGATAAAGAAATTCCAAAATTGACTGTCAAAATGGTTACACATTCTGTGAATATACTAAAACCCACTGAACTTTACACTTTAAATGAATGAACTGTATAGCATGTGAATTATGTCTCAAAAAGTTGTAATATACATGTACTGAAACATCACATGGTACCCCATAAATCTGTACTCTTATGTTTTTTGTTTTCGTGGTACTGGGGGACTAAATCCAGGGTTTGGCAAACACCAGGCAAACGCTCTGCCACTGAGCTACATCCTTAGCCCACAATCTTATGTTTTTATTTATCAGTTAAAAATAATAAATTTAAACTTTTGGGTTATTATAAAAATGATATTAAGGTCATATCTCACTCTTGAGATGGTC